GGAAGAAGCTCGTCTCTATCTGCGACCACTGCAAGATCAAGATGCAACTGGTGGCCGATCTGCTTCTGCTGTCGAGCGAGACCAGGCCGGTGAACACCGAGAGCCTGTCTGTCTTCGGTGAGTCTTTCGAGAAGTGCAGGGACACGATCATTGCCAGGACCAAAGGACTCTCCATCTTGACCCATGACGTCCAGAGCCAGCTCAATATGGGACGCTTCGGGGAGGTGGGGGAAAGCCTGATGGAGATGGGGGAGCTGGTGGTCTCCCTGACCGAATGCTCTGCCCACGCTGCCTACCTGGCTGCAGTGGAGACTCCAGGGGCCCAGCCTGCTATGCCTGGCTTGGTGGATCGCTACAAGGTGACCCGATGTAGGCATGAGGTGGAGCACGGCTGCGGGGTCTTGAAGACCACCCCTTTGGCAGATATGAGCCCTCAGCTCTTGCTGGAGGTTTCTCAGAACATGTCCAAGAACTTGAAATTCCTGACAGACGCCTGTGTGCTGGCCAGTGAGAAATCCAAGGATAAATTTGCTAAGGAGCAGTTCAAACTCAGTGTCAAATGTATGAGCACCAGCGCCTCTGCCCTCCTGGCATGTGTCAAGGAGGTCAAGACTTCACCCAGCGAGCTGACCAGGAACCGGTGTGTCTTGTTCAGTGGACCTTTGGTGCAGTCTGTCTATGCTCTGGTGGGCTTTGCCACTGAGCCCCAGTTTTTGGGTAAAGCTGCCACCATTAATCCAGAGGGCAAAGCTGTGCAAACTGCCATCCTAGGAGGAGCCATGAGTGTGGTATCTGCTTGTGTGCTCCTGACCCAATGCCTCAGGGATATAGCCCAACACCCCGAAAGTAGCACCAAAATGAGCGATTACAGGGAAAGGTTGAGGAACTCAGCTTGCGCCGTCTCGGATGGTTGCAACCTGTTATCTCAGGCACTAAGAGAAAGATCTTCACCCAGGACTTTACCGCCAGTGAACTCCAATTCTGTGAATTAACCTCTACATCTTCTGTTTAGATCCCAGTTGTTGCTAAAGGAAAATAATATCCCACCTCCTCACCCCTTTTTGTATACCAAAGAATTTGCTTGGATGAGCCCAATCCTTTGATTTCATGTGGTGAAGAAGCAGAACGGCATATTCAAACTATAAGTACTAATAAAGGTAGCCAGTTTTGGCTTCTTTTTATTTTACTTTAAAGTCAAGCAAGTATCTGCAGATAAAATTTCCTTTATTCAACAAGGTCTTCACACAAATGGTAATAACAGCTGTTTAAAAAGTTTGTTTTTATATTTGGGGAGGTGGGAGTATCTTAAAAAAAGGGAAAAAAAAAAAAGCTTTAATCGCGCTGGGTGCGGTTTTTAAAGTTTGTCTTTTCTTGTCTTCCGAAGTTTCCCTTCTAAATTTTACTGTTCAGTTGTGCAGGAAAAAGGTTACCTCAGTTCTCACTCATTTAAAAAAAAAAAAGACAAAAAAAACCCAACAACACATAGATGATGGATGTAGCTACTATTTTGTTTGTTTTTGTTTTGTATGACTTTTTTTATTTTGCATCAAGTGTTAGGTTAGAAGTGCATTTGGTGTGTAGGAGTGGAAGGACTGGAGGTTGTGATTATGTTTTCCATGTGTTGATTTCCAAACTGGGGGAAAAGCTACTGTGAGTGTTTAAACAAACAAACAAAAAAATTACACTATAACAAAAGTGATTTTTAATTTTTTTCCAATGTCAGTTTTTATCTTGCATGTACTGGAGTATTTATTTCATCTATTAAAATGTTATGTTTCTCAGATGTCTTTCTGTGAATCTCTTAACACTTGAATAATTGAACAGCTAGGCCTGTTTATATTGTATGTCATTTTCCCCAGGGAATGGGTGGTACAAATGTAACTGTAGTTCTAGACAACAGCATACAGGCTTCAATTCAGTTCTTTTCTTTTCATAAATACTGTTCCTCCCCCGATGCTACCCCTCCTCCTCAGGACGCCCCTGACAGAGATACGCTGCAGTTGGATTTATGGAAGGCTGGGCAGTGCTGTGCGCGTTGGGGTCGCTGCAGCAGGGCATAGGCTGGCTTTGTTTGTCTTTGTCAGCATTCTGTGTTATCTCTGAGAAGTTTGTGTATTTTAACTCTTGCAGATGTTGTGGGCCACCTGCGTTAAATTTGTGAGGTTTCCATATTAATTCATTAAGGATTGCTCAAAAAGCTTTCCCCTGCTGGATAGCCCTGCTTGGTCTGTGTGGCTGCTTAGGATTGTGAAGGTTTGCCAGAGTGGGCTCTCTGATTCCTCAGAGGTTTGTGGTGGAGCTCCTCTGTCAAAGTGGTTTGAGTTTGATGTTGTAGATAACAGGAAAAGTCAGCTAACTTTTGAGGCCCAGTCCTCCTCCAGTTGAGTTCCTTGGGAATTGTGGGTGGACCTTAGGGTATAGTGCAGTAGTTCCCGTAATTGCAATGATGATTTTTTTTCAGCCTGGTCTTTGTGGACCTGTGGGATCTGTTGCCTTCTATATGTTCTGTGAAAGGTAAATAGAAGAGCAAGTCTTCTGGCAAGGAGGCTTTGTCAGCCCAGCTCCGTTGCATAACTGGATTCTTTTTTATACGTCTGCAAATTGAACAATGTTGAAAGCTATCGGAGAATGTACTTTAAAAATGTTGTTACCATGGTTTAAACCTTCACTGTACAAGTACTGTCTTATTTCTTCCTTTGAAGAAGTAAACCTTTTGATTTTTGGAGAGGGAACAGTCCTGGAGTAGAGAAAGATCTTCCTTTTATAGCCCTATTGTTTCTCTTGCACTTGATGCTTTTGCTTAATTTCAAAGGGGAGTGAAACGTTCCTGGGTAGTGGACAAATAAATCCTGTTGAAGGAGACACAAGCTAAGCTTATATATCCATATCTTCAAGGTTAGGAAAAAAAAAATCCTTAAGTACAGTGGACCCCAGTATTGGGTTTTGTTTATTTTTAAATGAAACTTTTCTGACTTCACCGAATTGTACGATTAGGACTTTTCTTTGTAAAAAAAGAAGTCCCAGTGACATTTCTCTGGGGTATGATTTTCCCACTACACTCTCTGATGCACTATAACCCTATCAGTAAATGCTGCAGAGGCATGGATGTCTGCATGTATGCAGTGTGGTATAGAAGTTCTCCCACCATTTTTTCATAAATGAATAAATAAATAAAGATGCTGTTCTAGCTTTGACTTAGATGCCTCCACAGGTATTTCCTCAGAGGCTCTCTCACATGTGTGTGCCCATACGTTTTCCCATCTGGATAGCAGGAACAGCTGTAGGACTCTGGAGGGATTCCTGGGCGGCCAAGGTCATCTCCAGGGAGGTCCTGTGCCTCTGTAGTGTTTGCGATTGTCTGCTCGACTATCCCTTGTATCTCCCTCCCTTGTAGCATGTCTCTGTGGAAGCCGAGATACCGACCCAATCTGCCCTTCCTCCTTTTCCGCAGTTGCACTGAGGGGAAGGAGGAAAAGGGGATTGTAGCAAACGTCATGCTTTCAGGATGTAGTATCTTCTGTGGCTGCAGACAGGAGGTGAGGAACCCGCTCCACCCTTCCTTTGCATAGATCCTGGATGGTGCAGAGCTTCGTGCGGGACGTGCAGAGATGGTGCTGAGACAGCCGCAGGGCAGTGCTGCTCGGGGAGGGTACAGGTACCGGGGCAGCATCCTTTAGCTGAGTTCTTTTAAGTTCCCATGACCTACATTTGTGAGGCTTGCTTCCAGATATAAACCAGAGGATTCTGAAGGGCAGCTCTGCAGCATGTCTGACAAAACAAAAAGCAATGTCCCGCTGGCTCTTTTGATGTTTCTACTTAATAATTTTTGGCGCTGCTGAACTAATTAGGTTCTTTTTGATTCATTTAACATTATTGAGGTTATATGGATCACGGTGCAGCCTCCTTATTACCTCTGCATATGAAAGGCAATATATTGCTAATTACAATAGTGCTGATTTTTGTTGTGGTAAGAGTTTTGTTTTAAGTGGTTTAGTGCAATTTTTGTTTTAACAAGGATACTGTAGATTCTTCCCCCCTTTCTGATTATATTTTGAGGTGAAGTACATGCACATGTATATAAATAAGTATGTGTCGTCTTTTTCCTTTTTTAACACTGAAGGAAAACAAACTGTTCTAGATCTCCTTTTGCTTTTGAGGTGGGTGGGTTTTAGAAAATATGAAATGTAGACAGGCCATGATCTTAGTTAACAGGCTGATTAAAAAAATATATACACAAATAGTAAATTCACCAAAGTAACTTATGGTAACATTTTAAAATAACAGTAATTTTAACACTTCAAAATGTTCAATCATTTCTTTCCAGAGCAGAACTCACACAAAGGGAACCATGTGCTTCCTGGCCTCAGCTCAAGGGAATATCTGTCAAAATCTGTGCTATTCATATAATTAGCACAGCAAAATAACAACAAAAAAAAAGCCTTTTGATGTAAACAAGTATAACTTTTTATGCACTATGAGTAAATGATTATCAGGAAGAATTCTATATATACATATGCACATCGTGGCATTTTAAAAAAAATGATTCCACTGCTAAGTGTGAACATACCTGTACTTTAAATGCTGTAGTGCCACGTTTATAAAGACTTAATGTATATTGTGATAATTTATTTGGAATGTATTCCTATAGGATATTAATTCTCATATGAGACATTATTTCAGTAGGTATATTCATGTTGTTCATTTACTTTGTACTTTCTGTGCCAGAAAAAATAGATAATGGACTAGTTTTCACCGCGCTATTGCAGGCCACATCAAGGTCACTGGTTATCCCTTGGTGGTGTACTTTAGGCCCTTGTTCCCCAAATGCTTACACCATTTATGTCAACAGGTAGCGTCACTATTTCAACATAGGCTTAGACAAGCATGAGATGTGATTTCTGATCTGGAACTTTGGTAAAAGACAACTTAGTATTTCCAGGTGTCTATATCACATATGTCATAGATCTGCTCTAATAGTGCATTTAATAAAAGGGTTAATTTATTTCTAAACACATTATGCAATGCACATTTGTAGCCAAAAATAACACTATCCCCACCAAAAGAGAATTAAGCTTAATTTTTAAATATAAGGATTTTTTAACAGGGAAGAAGTTGTCACTTTTGTGTTGTCTGTGAATCTGATATTACCTTTTGGTTGCTGCTTCATCATAGTGAAGTTCATTATTGATTTAATGCAGCAGCCAAGTCTTGGAATTTGAGATTGGAACAATGTGTTTTCTGATTCTAAAAATTACGTTTTGTAAGCCAACCAGTAAACTAGCAGCAAAATGCTATTGAAAAGCGAGTACACTATTTAAGGGAATTTGCAAATGTAAATCCATGTTATTTTTCAAAACTAAGAAGAAAAAGACCATGGGTCAGATAATTCCCTTCACTTTTTACCACAGGAAATGATCAAAGTAGCAGAAAATCTGCTCTTTTTGGCCAAACTTCTGTCAGAGACAGAAGGGGTCGGGCCAACACATGGTGTATGCAGCCTTGCAGCAAGAGGGGATGTGGCTGATGGGAAAGGAGGTGGAACCAGAGAAAATCTGTAGGATAATGCCTCCTATTAAACCCACAGGAATTTTCCTATTCTAGATAAAACAGAGGCTGATCCAATAAAGCAAATCTCAAACAACACAACCTTTCTTTCTGGGCTGTTAGACACTTGTGAATGAAAATGTGGGGCTCGGAGCATTTGGGATGCTCTGTGTCGAGCAGCTGGATCGCTGCAGGGAACCAAGGGCCTCTGGGGTTGCCCCAAGATATGTAAGAAGTACAGGCAAGAATGTGTACCTGCCAGAACAGTTTGGTGGGAAATAAAGGGGTTGTTTTTTTTTTTTCTTTTTTTTTTTTTTTCTTTTTCTTCCCTGTCAGGCTCTTTCTAGACTTTACAAGCAGAAGCAGATGGTAGGGACCAGTACGTTTTACTTCTTTGTTCTTGCTGCCTGTGAAAGGTGCCAGATGGGCAAAGATAAAGATAGAAATTATCTTCCTGTAGCCCAGGGACAGCGAAAATACAGAGCTTCAAGGCTGCTGTATCCTCGCAGGATCACCATAGCGGGGGCCCACTGGTTTCACTCTGACTTTTTGCCAAGAAACTGTCAGAAAATGCCAGCAGCAACTTGACAGGGACATCAAGACCAATAAAATATTTCACAAAGGACACCAAACCGCCACCAGGTTTAGGTCACTCACAAATGGGTCAAAAAATATACAGGCTAGGTATGAAGTGCAAGGCCAGATCCTTCGTATGAATAACTTGGAAAGTGAAATACTGTGGACTCAGAATTGTTTAGTTACTTGAAAATTATGAAGTATCAAAATTTTTATGAGTAGTTCAAAGGTATATTTAACATAATTAGCTGTAGTATTCTGAGCCATTTTCTTAATGAAGACAGACATCTATGGACATGTAGGACCTCATCCATAACACAATGAGGTCTGTGTAATAAAAACTTTCCACAGACTGTGTTAAATGTTAGGGGTCATATTGTGTTGCAAAGTGAGGAATTATATTGATTTTCACTAATTTAAATATTTTCCTAGAACTGGTTTTATTGTACTGAAGTCCTTTGAACTTAAGGGGTTTTTTTTGTTTTGTTTTGAAATCACAGTGTACGATGCTATATTCCAACAAATTCAAAAGCAGCATTTCAAGATTAATGCAGAAATTCCTGGGGTCTTTTGTCAGCTTGCCAGGCTCTTGTTCCTGTTCTAACTTAATTTTTTATAATTTCCTTTTATGTTAATAAAGGCTTCTTGTGGCTCTAAAAGT